GGTAAAAACTCGTTGAGGCACCATTGTTACCTTCCTAGAACCTAAGGTAAATGTAAATCATAGTTATACTTATGCAATGATATGAGTAGGGCATGACTCCATATCTAGTCTCAAATCCTAAAATAGAAGCTTAAGAATTAAATAATTAAAACTCGTAAAGAAAGGCAACATAAACAACACACATAGATATAGAGACATTTTCATAACACATAAAAACAAGAAAAAAATTAAATTAAAATTATTCATTTAAAACATATAGGTATAAAAGCATAGTAAATAATAAGAGATTTATTAACACGGACATTCAAAGCTTGATCCTAGCCTGGCATTGTCCATAATGAAGTTGTCATTCTATTGATATGAGCTCATAGGGAAACATAAGAAAAAAGAGTCACCACCTAACTAAACAGAGAGACTTCGAAAACCCTAAGGTGTTGTTTGGTTATAAGGAATGAAAGGTTTGGAATGAGAATGGAGGAATCGAAATGGCATTTATATTCTCATATTGTGTTTGGAATGCTAATAAGGAATCGAAATGCAATTTAAATTTTTTAATAACTAGTTTTTTATATAAATAAAAATAATGATTAAAAAATAATTTTATCAAACTATAATAGTTGTAAAAATAATAAAGATGATAGTGGTGGTGGTGGTTGTAATAGTGGTGGTGGTCATTGTGGTGATGGTTGTGGCAGTGGTGGTTCTAGTGGTGGTGATGGTGGTAGTTACGGTGGTGCTGGTGGTGGTGATTGTGATAGTAGTGGTGACGAGTAGCTGTAATAATGATGGTGGTGGTGGTAGCTATGATGGTGGTAGTTGTGATGATGATACCGGTGGTGGTGGTTGTGATAATGGTGGTTGTGTTGGTAATAAAAGTAGTTAATAGATAATAAATAAATAAAATATATTATTATTTTGAAAAAAAAATTCATTCCCATTCCTTAATTTTTATTCCCACATCTTATGTGGGAATAAAATTATGTATAACTTTTCATTCTCATTCCCACTTTATTCCTTCTAACCAAACAACGAGAACGTGAGAATAAAACTTTTATTCTCATTTCCACCACTCTATTCCTAATTACCAAATAGCACCTAAATAAATTAATCTGCATAGATATCTAAGTAAGGGGTCAATTACATATGGAGAAGATATAACATTAGCACCATTCTATCCTATCCGAGGTAGGCTATATTGTTTACATATGAAAACAAAAGTTTAGTTTTATTATGTTATGTTTTTATGCCTATTTGAGTGAATTTATTTTATTAAGATAGAATAGCAGAGTAATTCAAAATTCAGATCAATCCAAGGCCAATACCAATACTCAAAAAGGAAAGTGTAGATAAGAAAATAACGATTCCCTTGTAATTATAGTCCATAAATAAAATCATCAAAAAGAAAATAGCAAGTCTCATACGACTACAACCCATAACAGAGATGTTTTGATAAAATAAAAGTAGCAAGTCTCTTGTGACTTAAGTCTATAAAAAAATCATTTAAAAACATAATGAGTCCCTAGCGATTGCAAACCATAAAACAAATGTTCCGTTATAATAAATGTGATGAGTCTCTTATGACTCAAGTCCATAAAAGAAACCATTGAAAAGAAATTGACAAGTTTCTTGTGACTTAAGCCCATGATAGAAATCATTTGAAAAAAAAATGGCGAGTCTCTTATGACTCAAGGCATAATAGAAATCATTTGAAATGAAAATGACCAGTCTCTTGTGACTTAAGTCCATAGAAAAAATAATTTAAAATAAAAATAATGAGTCTCTTATGACTCAAACCCATAATAGAAATCATTTAAAATGGAAATAAAGAGTCTCTTATGACTCAAACCCATCAAAAAAATATTTAAAATAGAAATGATGAGTCTTTTGTGAGAAATCATTTAAAATGAAAGTTGTGAGTCTCTTATGACTCAAGTCCATAAAAAAATCATTTGAAATGAAAATGGTGAGTCTTTTTATGACTCACGTTCATAATAGAAATCATTTAAAATGAAAATGATGAGTATTTTATGACTCAATTCCATAACAAAAATCATTTATAATGAAAATTATGAGACTCTTGTGACTCAAACCCATAAAAAAATCATTTAAAATAAAAATGGTGTGTCTATTGTGACTCAACCTCATAATAGAAATCATTTGAAATGGAAATAACGACTCTCTTATGATGCAACCTCATAAAGAAATCAATTGAAATGAAAATGTCGAGTCTCTTATGACTCAAACACATAACAAAAATCATTGAATAAAATAGCGAGTCTCTTATGAATTAAGGCTAAAAAAGAAGTCATTTGAAATAAAAATAAAAAGTCTCTATGACTTAAGCCCATAATTCAAATCATTTGAAATAAAAATAATGTGTCTCTTATAACTCAAGTCTATAAAAAAAATAATTAGAAATGGAAATGGCAAGTCTCTTATGACTCGAGCCCATAACAAAAATCATTGAATAAAATGAAGAGTCTCCTATGACTCAAGCTCATAATAGAAATCATTAAAATGGAAATGGCGAGTTTATTATGACTCAAGCCAATAAAAAAAATCATTGAATAAAATAACGAGTCTTTTATGACTCAAGCCTATAATAAAAATCATTTGAAAAGGAAGTAGTGAGTCTCTTATGACTTAAGCCCATAATAGAAATCATTGAATAAAATGACGGATCTCTTATGACTCAAGCATACAAGTAGAAATCATTTGAAATGGAAATGATGAGTTTTGTGTGACTCAAACCAATAACAAAAATCGTTAAACAAAAAGATTTGGAAGCCACAAGCCGTTTCGGTCACTTAGGTGAGGAATCACCATGGACTTCATTTCAGCAAATAAAACAATTGAGCAATCAAGCATTGATCATGAATATTATGTATTTGGTAAATTCCATTCAAGATTAAGATCAATCACATCATTCAATATAAATACACATATCATATTCAAATGTAAACACTTGAACTAGTATTTATCATGGATACAGCATTAAAATTAAATCCCAATCCCAATCCTCTTAGCTCTATTACAAAGCTTTGATCACTAATCTTATTCCACCTCAAAATAATTACGATCTCCGAATCTTTAATATTTGATATATCAACAATGTATCTAATCACACTTTGAATTTCAAACACAACAAATATGTATTTTTTTTTAATTTTTGTGTTCATTAAAAAAATTACTCATATCATTTCAATTATTAAATTTAATGGGCATAAATATTATTAGAAATTACCTATATAGCTATTGAAAAGGGTAGAATTTGTCTAAAATTCTATTCACTGGTCGATTCTACTCTCTTCATCCCCGATGGAAACTAATTGTTCGGTTAGCTAGAAAGAAGAGCATCTGTCCATTACCAAAATTATTAGTGTGGGTCCTACTAAAGGGGTTGCCACATAAATAGTTGTTGAAAGTACTGAATTTTTCCAAACTCATCTTCAAGGTCAATTCCGCCTTCTTCAATCTCAATGAAAACCGATTGTTCGGTTAGCGAGAAAAGAGAGTAGCTACTTATTGTCAAGATTATTGGTAGCTCCTACTAAAGTGCATGATGCTTAAATAGGTATTGAGAAGTGCTAAATTTGTCTAAATCCTCTTTAAGGTTAGTTCTACTTTTTTCAACTCTAATGAAAATTGATTATTCAGCTTAATTAGAGAGGAAAAGTAGTTAACTCGTTGAAGCATCAATAATGTTGTTATGAAATGATTAAAATGCCTCCGATTAAATCTGAAAAATCACACCCAAAAAAATTACCGAAATGCCTTTGAAACCCAACTCGCAATCGCTAACACTTTCTATCATTTTTTGATGACTTCGGGTGCGTGGATGGTCGGGGAAGTGTCATCCGGATCTCCTCTATCAATTGGTACTAGTAGTGTCAACCATGACATCCGATGAAGAGAGATCAAGAATGATCGAATGTATAACTTTCAAGCTTCTTCTTTAACGATGTTCCCATCCAAGGTGAGGCAAAGGAAGGATGCTAAGTTGCTTAGAGGAGTTTGGGGAATATTTCTCTAGTTGTTGGGAGGTTCGATTTGGCCTTGATTAGTTGATTTTTCTCGATTTTTACAAACAGTCTCAAGATCAAAGTTTACTTCAATTTAGTCCTTTTTTGGTGATGTTGGGCCTTAATTTTTAATGGAAACACCTTTTAAGAGGATGAGGGATCGTTCTATGTCAATGATAGTTGGTGGTTCGACTGAAATTAGAAGATTTGGCCAAGTTGCTAAACGGGTCGAACCATCAACCTTCTCTCATCAAATTTGGAAACCTCAAGCATCTCCTCCTTCTCTAACAAGTCGAGAATGGTGGATTTGGGTACGTGCTATTGATTAGTGGTGGTGGTTGAAGGAGATATTAGTAATAAGGTGGTCGATTTAAGAAGAGAAGCATCGGCGAGTCCGGTGGGTAAATAGGTCTAGGATCCGAGGTCGACTAGGTTCTTAGTAGTTGTTTGGTAGATTTTTGGGTTTTTCTTTTTTTAGGATTTGTGTCTTCTTTAAATGGATGAAGCGGTTAGGTATTTAGAAGGAAACAATTAGGGTTTTAGGTAAACATTAACTTTGCTCTTTGGTTTCTCCCAATTTTCAATTTCAATGTTGATTTGCTTGGGCCTTTTTTTTTCTCAATCGTATCCTTCCCTTGTTTGAATTAAGGATTTCTTTTTTTCTTTTTCTTTTTTTTTTGTATTTTTTTTAACTCATAAATTTAAAAATTAGATAGGGATAAAAATTAGGTGTTACCATATGGAACCATCACTCCTCTCTCTTACACACATCCGACATCACTTTCTTATCTATTTTCCTTTTGTTTTTTAATTGAAAATGGCTATGCCAAAAACAATAAACTACAATAGCACAGATCATGATGATTTCAGTTTAAAGTTATGGTTCATTCACCTTTGGCCAATGAAAGTTTTGAACATCTTTAAATTGGTTAGCATCGTAAGCTAGCAACAACTAAAGCAACCGAGACTTTTAAAACCATGGCACAATTGTGACTTTTTTTCTTTTTTGACCTTCTAGTTAACAAAAACACAAACAAAATGAGAAAGTAGTGTTGATTTCCGTATTTTGTCAAGACACATGCATAGTAGTTGAATGTAGCAATTGTTATTTAAATCAATCTTCTTCTTCTTTTGTGGGTTTTTTTTTCCTTCTATTTTTTTGTTATTTTGAGAGTAAGTTATAAATTAGTCCCTTTAGTTTCAATAAACAAATTAACTAGTCTCTCTTGTTTCAAAAATTATTATTTAATCCTTTAATCAATGTTGACCATGCTTAATTTAATATTATTTTTATTCTATAAAATCTCTAATTTTCTCATCAATATTTTGATATTTTTCTTTTTTCTATTTCTTAAAAAGTCAAAGTAAATTAAAAAAGAGAAAGAAAAAAAAGGACTAAATTATAAGTAAATTTCAAAATATAAAGACTAAATAATTAGTTTTTGAAACAAGAGGGACTAATTAATTTATTTTTCAAAACAAAATAGACTAATTTATAATTTACTCTTAGTTTTTATTATGCCTCTTGGTGGCTTTGCAAAGTTACAATGTTGCTCTTTTATGATTCCTGTTTTATTTTTTATTTTTTACTCTTTTTTGTCGTTTTTTTTCCCATCAAACAAAGGATTTAATGCTAATAATTTGAATTTCTTACTTTATTTCTTTTCTTTTTGTTCTCAACTCTCTTGCCATAAGAATTTCCCCTTTTTGAAGGAACCACTTAATTATTGTTTTACTCGCGAATTTGTTATGGATTGCCTCTTGTGATTGACTATATTGTTGGAAAAACATGTAATCAAGGTAACATTTCGTTTTTTTTTTTAACGGATATTTTGAAAATCAATTCCTCTCAAATAAAATAATTAAAATTATATTTAAAAAAAAAATCAATGGTACCATACTTTTCAAATAGAGGTTTATATATATATATATATTAAAAAAATTAATATTCTCATCAATATTATAAAAATTTATTTTAAATTTAAAATTTTTATGCAATTTTTTAAAAAAATTAACTCGTTCATTTTTTCAATGAAATAAATAATTAAATTTGTGCATATTTTTTTAAATATTTTTGATGAATTAAAATTTATATTTTAGATTATTATAATTTTTTATTTAAGAATCCATGCATAAAAAAATTATGTTTTTTTAAGAATGAAATCTATTAAAAAAACATTTAAAAAAATTAATGAAGTACAAAATTGTGATTAAAAAATCATAAAGTTAGGTGATTTTTTTTTTTTTTTTTTTGCCTTTGATTTTGAGATATTTTAATGAACTTCCAACATGGTGAGAACCATCAAATTATAATAATTTTTAAAAAATAATTTCATCTATTATATCTAATTTGTAGCATAACACGAACAACTCGCTAGTATGAAAGTGAAGAAACTACTTTACATATGTCATTAACATTGATGGCCAAAGCTAATGTTCAAATGGTAGAAATTATGTTGATCTTGTTGGGTTCTTCATGACCTAATACACAATGAAAACATAGTCATAATTATTATTATTATTATCTTTTTTTTATCTTTTTTTTGTTTGCAAGAGGACCTAAGGCCCTTAAAATACTACCGGATTTTAAGAGCTTTCATCACTTTAATCTCCATTATTTTAAATTAGCAATATATCATTAAATTTTGATATGATTTTCATTTTTAAAATTATTTAAATTATAAAAATTTAAATATCAACTCGATTATTAAATAGCATATGTGATTTAATGTAAATAGATGAAATATCGAGTAATAAGTATTTATAAAGTATTGAACTATTTTTGATAAGTCCTAATCAAAACGAGATATTAACCGTAGTTATTTATGTCACCATTAGCTCTCCAATCTCTTATAAGACTCTCTTGAATGAAGGGGTAATCGATCGATATCTAGGATGATTAGTCCATATCTTAATACAATCCGAACATCGCTCAAGATCACTACCTATATAAAAAACAATCATCCATAATTTTTTTCCAATATGCTACCCTATCGAAAAAAATATGGTTTCAATATGTCCCAGTGTCATTGAAGATCCAATTATTCCTAACCAACTAGATTATCCATAGGATTCCATAAAGAATTAAGAACTAAACCTTTTTTTACAAAATTTCAAAATAAAAATAAAAATTCCATACTAGAAACAAGTCATTAATTATATGAGACATAACCCAAGTACATCCCTACTAAGACATAATTTGACACCATAATGTCCACACGACATCACAATGAAGAAGCAGATGTCGAGTAGTTTTCTAACTAGAAGTACAAAAAAGGCATATGTTTGCTTCCATTCCTATTATACTTTTTGTAGTAAATGACCTCCTAGTATTTAATCTCTCCAAAACCGCAAGTTAAGTAAAGGCTTTAACTTTCAATGGAGCAAGGTTTAGTCACACATAAGAGCAAATGATGTATTCACTAATTAACATATGATCATTAAGCAAAGAACATGATTTAACCGAGTAAACACCATTATTATAATTCTACCAAATAATTTAATTATTAGCTTTCTTATGCAAATGAAGGTCCAAATGATGATCTACATCTCGAAGGAAAGTAGACTACTCAAGAATTTCACATTGCATTGCATTTAGGTTATGACGTTTTTATCTAATTTAGCATCCAAAAAATTACATTTTGAACACGCGAAGACTACATGTTTAGAACCCATTTCATATAAGAATGTCAATTATCTCCACCTTATGTTGTAGTTTTTAAGTATTGGCTCTACATGGAAAGAAATGATTAGGTCATGATACTTTTATTTTGCGAGTTGGAGGGGATGGAATATAACAATTGGCTGCATATATAGCTAGTAGTGGGGGTGATGATAGAAGGTATAAGTGGATTGATAATGGTGGTGGTGCTACAACAGATGGCCTCGCTTAATATCCATTTGGTGTAGCTACTTTCCTAAATTCTATAATTTAGACTAGTTGGCTTCAAAAAAGCTAGAAGTCCTAATTTGCGTTAGGGATTTGCTTGTTTTTAGGTTCCTTCTCTTGTTCTCAATAGAGATTTGGAGATTCTTATGCCACTTCTATGCAACATGATCATTATAGCCATATGCCCATATATAATGATGAGTTAATTAGTATACATCATCCTATGAAGTAGAATGTTCTATTTTAAAATTTATCAAAACAATGAAATGTGTTTGCTTGAAAAACATAAGAAAATGATTCAAGGCGGTTGGCTTGAGTAAAAGGAGCTCTAATCATTTAATCAAGTAGTCTCGAGTTTGAGTTCTTGTATAGACAGTAAAATTTTTTGAATAACTATCGTCATCTTATACTTCTAATAGAATGTCGATTGATTAATTTGAATTTTTAAACTTAAAATACTTTAAGGATAAAAAAATTGAAGAAAATGCAAAAATCATTAGAACTTAAAATGATCCATAATTGTTCATGACTACATTTTAGAGACTGGACATTAGGTTTATGTTGTTGCTTTATTCTGAAAGGGGCATACCATATAGCATTGGTCTTGATCAACCAAATAGACCTTTACATAAAAGTCTTTTTATTTCCTTCCAACAATGAAATAAAGATTTTGGTTTGGATTTTGAGGGACAACACATGAGGGGCTTCCTTCACGTGGCTGTATTTTTGTACTCATTCCTATTTTGGATTTTATGTTTGTTGCCACCACGTGCAAGGTTGACAACATGATGGGGGTAACCAACGGTACAGCTTGGAAAATAGAAGGCATTAACGCCAACGAGGCAACAACTATATCATCTTGTGCCTTCTGTCCATTGATAATTATGCAAATAAAAACAACCAAGAAATGAAAAGGGACTTTTTGATAATGGGTCAAGATTGCTCCACCAAGCTCCATTGTTCACCACAAGACTAAAATCGTACGGATATCCCACATTTTGGGGTGCAGGAGAACTGCTCGTGAGCCATGGACAAGCTAGATGTGGAAAAACAAAACAAAAAAAAATCAAATCAAATCAAAGTCTATCAATATCAGCGCATGGAATTCGAAAGAGAGCACGTTCCCTGCCTTATTTGTTACATGGCCATGGAATAAAGTAGCACGTCATGAGTTTCGAATAGAGTAGTACGTCAAGAGTCTAGCCAGAAATTTAGAATACTCTCTCTTTAGAATGACGCTATTTGGTTGTTATTATTATGCTACAGATCCGATAAAACTAAATTATTTTATAATTTTTTATTTAATTAATTTTTTTAATATTTTTTATAATTTTTTTTGTTTAAAAAAACATAAATTATTCTTCTTTATAAATTGATTTTAAAATAAAAAAATCATAATAATTTTAACCAAACTATTAATCAATAATTAAAAATTTTAAAACTATAATTTTCATAATATTGTATTCTAAAAAATAAAGTTATAATTGATGAATAAATTTTTACCAAAATGAACAAATAACAAAACTTTCTTATTTAATGCTCGATGAAAATATTAATTTTTGAAATAATACACATAACAATATAGGTAGATAGAACAAAATCATTTTAAAAATTCATAAGTTTTTCATTAAATTTTTATTTCATTATAACTATTTTTTGTGTATTTTTCATAAAATTTCTACTTAAAAAATATGATTTATTCTTCTTTATTCGGAGGTTCTTAAATAAAAACTTGCAATAATTTAAACCTAAAATATTAATTAAGAATTAAAAAACAAATACTTTTAAAATTATTTTTGTATAAGAATGTATCCAAAAAAATAAAGTTACAATTAATGTATAGACTTGCATAAAAATTAACCAATGAAAAAATAAAATTTTATTCTTATTTAATGTTGGTGAGAAGATTTGTTTTTCAAGTATTTGCATTTGATCTATATTTATTTATTTACAAAATAATCAATAAAATTAGCATAAAAAACTATATTTGAATTATTGGTTGGTTCCTTTAAAAAACTATTTTAATTATATTATTTCAAATATATTGGTTCTATAATATTAAAAAAATATTCATAGTAAATAATTTGTATTATGTTGGAATATGTATAGCTAATTTTTAATATAAAAATAAGAATAAAAATTAACTTAACGTGAATTTTTATAATAAATTGAAAAGATCAAATTTAAACAATAAGAATAGTATATGTTTATTCTAAAATCTAAAAACATGTCTTATATATTATATAATCATCGGTTTATATGAAAAACAAATAATTATGTTGGAAGATGTATAGTTAATTTTTAATATATAAATAAGAATAAAAGTTAACTTGATGTGAATTTTTATAATAAATTAAAAAATCAATTCTAAACAATAAGAATAGTATATATTTATTGTAAAATCTAAAAACATATCATATATACTATATAATCGTCAATTTATATGAAAAAAAAATTATGTTAGAAGATGTATAATTAATTTTTAATATAAAAATAAGAATAAAAGTTAACTTGATGTAAATTTTTATAATAAATTAGAAAGATCAATTTTAAACAATAAGAATAGTATATATTTACTCTAAAATCTAAAAATATATCATATATATTATATAATCATTAGTTTATGTAAAAAAAAATAACGAATGATTTTTTAAAATTTTAACACCTAGTTAAATAAAAAAGGAACATAAATTGATGAAAAAAATCAAAGGAAAAAACCAAAACAAAAAAACATGTGTAATGCAAAAAAAAAAAAAAAAAAAAAAAAAAAAAAAAAAACTAGTGAATAGTGATTTGTGAGGGGATGAACAGTGAAACTCACTGATGGTTTCACTTATCATACCCCACATCTAGATATATAGTAATTTTATTAGCTATATATATATATATTTGTTTTTATTGATGCAACTCATATATATGATCTTTAAAAGGTGATTTGATGGTCAAGGGGAATCAATATTTTTCTTAATTTTTTGAATTTGAACATGAAAATTTGACATAACAAATTAATTCTTCTAAAAATTAGATTATTATGGAGAATGTATTATTAAAATAATCTAAACCCAAATATATGTATATAATCTTGCTTTACAAATCTTGTTTTCCAATACTTTTTACAAAAGCACTTGCTAACAATTTTTGTATTCTAGAAGAGACAGCAAATCAAATTTTAGAAAATTAAGTATCAAGGTTACGAATCTCAACAGTTCCTAGTTTTTTTTTTTTTTTTTTGCCCAAACAATTTGAAAGGAAGAAAGTGGCTACCCTTTCTGCAACACCAAAAACATCTTTAAAAGTTAGGCTACTCTACCATATGTTCAACCACGTTTCATGCTTCAAAACTTCATTGGCTTTAAAACTGCCATGCATGGAAGCATCACACCTCTCTCTTTCTCTCTCTCACACACAGACACACACATCCGACATCTACATTCCTATCTGTTTTCTTTTCGTTTTTTAATTGAAAATGGCTATGAAAGTTTAAAGTTATGATTCATTCGCCTTTGGCCAATGAAAGTTTTGAACATCTTTTAAATTGGTTAGCGTCGTAAGCTAGGAAACAGGTAAAGCAATTGACACAGTCGTGACCTTTTGGACATTTTAGTTACCCAATTCAGTCCAATCCAGCCGGCTTAAATATAACCTAAAAAATAAGGGCTTGGAACTTGAGATTTTTTTTTTTTTTTAATAAAAACATTAATATCAGATAAGACTGTTCAAAACAATTAATAAAAACATGAAAAGAAAATGAGAAAGTACTGTTTATTTCACTGTTTTTTCAAGATTCATGCATACCCTTCAGTGACTTTAGCTTTTTTTTTTTTTTTTTTTTTTGCACGTTCCATTTTGTTGTTATTTTTTATTATGCCACTTGGTGGCATTGCAAAATTACAATGTTGCTCTTTTATGATTCCTGTTTTTTTTTTTTTTTTTTGACTTTTATTTATTTATTATTATTATTTTTTTTTTTTGGTTATTTGGCTTTTTTATAGCATTTAATGCTACAGACTTGAATTTCTTGTTTTATTTATTTTCTTTTCAGTCTCAACTCTCTCACTAGAAGAACTTGCCACCATTGAATGAACCACTTAATTGTTGTTGTGTTGCGAATTTATTCTGGAATTTATTCTGGATTGCTTCTTAAGATTGACCATATTGTTGGAAAAAAATGCAATCTTGGTAAAATTTATTTTTTAAAATGAATATTTTGAAATTAATTCCTTTTGAATAAAATAATTAAAATTATTTTTTAAGAAAAAAATATTCGATGGTGCCATATTTTTCAAATATAATTTTTTGTATGCTAATATTATTTATTATTTTAAATATATATATATTCTCATCAATATTATAAAATTTATTTTAAATTTAAAAATTTTATGCAATTTTTTTAAAACTAATTTTTTATTTTTTTCAATGAAATCTTAAGAAATAAATAATTAAATTTACACATATTCTTTTTAAGATTACTGATTAATTAAAACTTTAATTTTAGATTATTATACATTTTTAGTTAAGAATCCATGCTTAAAAAAAAAATCATGTTTTTTAAGAAAGAAATCTATTAGAAAAACATAAGAAAGAATTATTTAATCATGAAATTGTGATTAAAAAAGCATAAAGTTAAGTGTTTTTTTTTCTTTTGATTTTGATATATTTTAATAAACCTATATAATAATAAGAACCATTAAATTATAATATTTTTTAAAAAATAATTTCATCTATTATGTCCAATTTACAGCTTACCTCGGACAATCCGCTGGAGGGCAAGGCTAATGTTGAACAGGAAAAATTACGCTGATCTTGTTGGGTTCTTCATGACCCAATAGACAATGAAAACCTAGTCATAATTTTTTTCCCCTTTTTTGTTGCAAGAGGGCCGAAGGCCCATCAAAAACTACAGGATTTTAAGAGTTTTCATCACTTTATTCTCTATTAATTTAAATTTGAAATATATCATTAAATTTTGATATAATTTTCTTTTTAAAAAAAAATCATAGCAACTTAAATATCAACTGATTATTAATTAGTATATATGATTTAATTTAAATGGATGAAATATCGAGTAATAAGTATTTATAGAGTCTTGAATCAAAAGTAGAAATATTAACTGCAGTTACGTATGTTACCTGTAGCTCTTCAATTTCTTACAAGACTCTCCTCAATATAAGGGGTCAGTGAAATACAATATCTTATGTTCTAGATTTACACCAAAAGTAGCAAAGCTTGTGGGTGCAAAAGTCAGCCTCCTTATGAACCGGATCGCAGATTGAGAAAAGATAATGCTGTATTGTTTTGTGAATAGCCAAGTCGGGTTAGGAATAAAAGAGAGCATGCCCTAATTGGGCCTAATCCAAACTCCGGTCAGTTGGTTCGTAAACAAAGTCTGCAGTAAAAACATTATTTCGCAAAAGTCATGGAAAAGTACCAGAAAACCATGAAATTGGTATTTTTCACCGGATCCTTTTGCCTTCGGAATAGTTTTTGCACGTCTCGAAATTAATTTTTCCCTAGATATGATTAAGGTACTCTTCAATTTATAGTTTTGAATATTTTAAAAATAAATTCTCATGAGTATTGAAAATTGAATTTCGAATTTAACCTATAAATCGATATTTGTTTATCATGGTTCTATCATGTTGTGATGTAAGGACAGGACAAAAATAGAATGGATAAATTATCAAGATTTTTTTTTCTTTACCTGTTTTTAGTAGTTTTTTCATTAGAGCCCAAAAAAGCGGAAGCCCATCTTGAGATAGAGCTTGGGCCACAACCAGAATAACCGGGCCGAAATAGGTCGGGTCTAACATAGGCAATTGCTATAACACCACGTGGCAAGTTCCCAACCATGAAATGGATAAAATCTGCGACTCTGTTAAGACAATGGAGCTTGAAAAATAACAAAAGAATGGCCCTTCTCTACGTTGCCTTGTGAAGAAACAGAAACAACAGAAAAGAATTTCAGAGCATAGCAGAGTGAGCAGGCATATATACATATACAACATGTCCATATCAATAGCATCATCTCAACAAAGCTTCCTAACCAACGTCCTTATCACTCCTAATTTACTCCACAAACCCAAAACAAGGTTCATAAACTGTGCTGCCATTGTCTCATGCAACTGCTCACAAGATAACCAAAAAGATTCTTGCAGCAGGTTATTGCTAAACTTGGTTTCGGTTGATTTACAGCAAGTTTCTTTTGGTTTTTTCCTTTTTCTTTTTCTTTTGTGTGTGTGTGTGTGTGTGTGACTAAAGATTGTTTTTTGGGGCATTTGTTTTTATAGGAAAACCGTGAATCAATTGGCAAAGGTAGTAGCAGTGACACTAGCAGCTGGGGTGCTTACACTGGGGTCTGTTGGTGATGCATCAGCTGCCAAGTCTGGTGGCAGAGTTGGTGGTCAAGCCTTCCGGTCAGCTCCTCGGTCATCTCCGAGAATCAACAATAATTCAAGGTAAGAAAACATGGTTACATTAATACAGCTTTAATTTTTGCCTTAATTTTCAGTTATTTGTTTTTGGTCTGTGATTAATTAGTAAGCAAAACATGGTTGCTGAATATATAGTTTTGATTTTGATTTGATTATAGTGCTGTTATTGGCATGTTGGTTACCTAAAGAGAACTCAATAATTATGAATTAAGTCTTGGTGTGGTCTTGTATTAATTTGAGTGACATGTTGGCTGTGAAATCTATTGTCAGTTGACCTAACCCAGCTAGTGGTGGATGTAGTCTCAGTGACAGAAATAAAGATTCAAGATATTTGTTTCAATAATTGTTGGTCAATCTGGTTCGGAGATGCCATAGGTCACATTCTTTAGGAGATGCATACTCAGTCATGATATTGGTTAGGATTTGTATACACGGAACATTAGAGTCTAAACTCTTAATTAGTATTTTACTAACTAGGTGAGTTACTTGGCATTGTTTGAAGCAACAAAAGTAAATCATACACGGTTGAGATGGGGGATGGATTCAGAAAGGAGAGCATTAATCATTGAACAAATTGAGACACTAAAAGGTTTTACGCAGATTATCTCTTTAACATTTCACAAGTATAGCATTTGGTGAGGTGTTCATTGCCGGAAGTGCTGCACGAGTTAATAAGACTGCTAGTTCAGTAGGGAAGTCGTCTTGCATGCACAAAGCAAGGATTGATAGCATAAATTCACCCAGCTGAACCATTTTAAAATGAGGTAGCAAGTGGTTTGCTGGTCCATTTTAAGAGACTCGTGATAAAATTGCTCTAGACTTAAAGGCATATTCAAAGAAGTATTTTTTTTTCCAGTCTGATATGAATCCTAGATAAAGAAAAAAATGAAGTACATTTTGATTTGATCTTTGTGACTGCATCATAGGAAAAAAATGCATGCTCACTTTAGTAATTTTATTTTTATCAAGAGATTTTGATAGAAACCTCCCACCCCCATCCGTGTGGGATTTGTACTTAATCACTTAAGACTTTTAAATTGAATTTTTGCTGTCAAATATGAACTTACGAGTTTTAATTTAAATTCCACTGGCTTCTCCTTGGGGATATAAACTTAGGGGACATGCTTAATTAGTCATGTAATTTTGGAACTTGTTGAATTACATTTGATCACCTGTCATGACTGAAAGCTCTTGGGGCATGAGTGTACATGGTCAGGTAGCTGCATTATCTTGAATATTGAAACCCAGTGAACAAAGCTTGAATTTATGATGTAATTCTGAAATAGCCACAGTAATATGACAGAAATAAACTGGTGATGAAGAACTTTTTAGCCTAGAGCAATAAGGAAAAATGTTGAAGAGAAAACGGCAGAGTCGAGGTTGTTTATGACCAGTGCCTATGATGTGGGGGTAGACAAATGCAGCCCTGCTGCAAAGATGAATTGGTGCTCAAAGATGCTAAAATCCTGATACAATGAGAATATCAAGGTCAAGGAATTTGGAGCTCGTTATTTTCAAGTTCTTTGTGTCCCATGAAACTGTGGTTTTATGCAGGCTGACAATGAGAAGAGAAAGCGAAAAAAGAAAACAGATGAAATCAGATTAATGAAAGAATTGAATCAGAGGCGCAAAACAAGGAAAATATGTGTGAGGGGAAAGGGAAATGAATGCCTGAAGATGCAATGTTATAGTAAATAATTATTCATATTGCTTATTATTGATTTAGTTTCGTTTATTTTTGTGCAGGACCAATATTTATGTCAATCCACCAGTAGCACCTCCATTAGTTGGTGGATATGGGTATGGTTTCGGTGTGCCATTCTACGGTGGCTGGGGTTGGTCACCATTTTCATTCTTTGCACCAGGTCCCAGTGCTGCCATTGGAATTGGAGTTGGGTTTGAAACTTTTGTGCTCTTTTTGTTTCTTGGTGCTATGGCAGCTGTTGTCAGGCGATTCTTTGGATCAAGAGATGAAGATGACGACTACTGATCACAAGAAAAACTTTTTGATACGTGTTTGAGGCTGGCCATACAGATGTTTTAACGTTAGTGACCAAGACGTTGCAGGCTGGCTAATATTGTAAATTTGGATATACTATTGTGAAATACAAAGTATTATGCAATGTTTCATACTGCGTGATTTCCAAATATTTCGAATTGTTGCGCATGATGCCTCAGAAAGATGATATAGTACTTAATTAATTCCTGACCAATCTTCAATCTTGTCTTGGGAGACTTCTGAAATGTCTGCTGTTGGCAGCGAAAACACAAGTTTGTGCTAGCAGGCCTCTAGGAATCATCTATTCAACTGAAAACACGACACATTGTTGTTCATCCATTAATAATTTTCCAGTTGGTGTACAGAATCAATTTCTCTATTCCGTTCTTGAACCTGGTGTTTCAAAAATGGAAACTAGGGCATCTTCTTAAACAAAATCAATCGGCATAATTGTAGTTGTCAGGGTATTGTATGTTGCTTCTAAAACCCAGGCATTCGCAGTGTAACCATATCAGGGGAAATTCCGATATGTGACTGTCAGAAAGAGGACTTGGTGGAGATTCACATCAATGTACTCTCTACATCTACTGTTGAAAAGCAGCAACTTCACCCAAAAAGATTGGCTTGGGCGAAGGGGTTCTAGTTGCTAAAATAAGTGTCGGTTTCGAGTATTTGTGTAAACAAAAAACATTTTGAATAGTTATGTTTATTTTGTACATCCGATCGACTAACGCGGAATTAGTCTAAACCACTCTAGGATCCCAAAAAAGAAAAAAGCGGCAACTTAAGCATCCTAAATACATGATAAGCATTATATATGGAAGTGCTTGAACTATGTTTCTTGTCTAACCTTTTCAACATTCCCCTCATTTAGCTACAGTCCAGCCTCTGGGTTCAGGATTTCTTCCGTGGCAGAATTCTGGTATCTTATCTCGCAGCTGAGCTTCAAATCCCATCTTTGGAGTCTTTGTGGAGGAGCTTGAACACGATTCACATGCTCCCTCCAACTTTAAAACTACAAGTCTACAACAAGAACATCTATCTCAAGTAATTACGGCCACATTTGCATCCATCAGGCATCAAGCCAAGCCGAAAACATCCAAAACCCTCTCTGCATTATCTTCAGTGAATGGAAGAACAGAACTTGCTTAAACCATATAGTCTGTGATTTTGTTGTCATTTATATTTAACTTATTTCTTTCTAGTGATTTTTTAAGTTCCACACATTTTACATGTGCAGCATGCAAATAGATTTCTGCTTAATATGATGCTAAGGATCAGAGTGTAATAACGAGCATTGTTAAATAGAATTAAAACCATTTGGGTTACTCAAATAGAGCAGAATAGAAATTACAACTGAACATTTTCTTTGTGTACGTAAAGTTCAAGTTAAACTAAAGAAAGGGCAGGCAGTTTTTTTTTTTTTGGCACAGGGAAACATTCAAGAAGCTTTGGTATCTAGTCATTTATTCGGTGCTAAGGAGTGTCTGGCTAGCAAGAAATGATTACGTCTTCAATGGCGTGGACATTACAATCTCTCTTTAACTTTCTTTGTGGGCAAGATTCTTGATAATCATTTTGTTTACTCATGCGCTGATCTACTTAAGAGTTCTGATGGGATTAGGAGATGGACAAATCGAGCTCCACGTCGACCTGCTATCACCAGGAGTTCTCCTTCGTTTGGGCGTCTCAAGTGGAATATTGATGTTTCCTCCGGGTCTTTCTAGGATAGGAGGGGTTCTTCGAGATCATCATGGCATTTTTGTTCGTTTGCCTGGCTCCAGGTCGACCTGCATTTTGATCGTTTGCCAGATTTTCATTGAGTCGTTGTCCTATCTATCCTATCTTAAGACTGTTCTTTTACCTTCATTCTTTGATGGCTTTAGCTATTTTGATTAATTCTTGAACGCTTACTACTTAGACTCTCGTTACTTCAATTGACTTGATGATGTTATTTTTTAACCAATTATCGATTTTGATTCGAATTATTAAATCTTTAGATTTACCCACTAAGTATTTTTAATTTTGTAAATTGTTATTCAAATAGGATCATGGCATGCCTCTAAATACTAGTTGAGATCATATATTTATCATTTTCATTGCACAATCACTGTTTGTGTTCAACTTTCATTTTTTGGTGCTTATTCCTTAATTTGCCAACTTGTCTTGGAATTTTCATCATCTTTCGAGAAAAATCATTAAATATAAATTTTTTGTTTTAATGAATTAAACCGTGAACTTGAATGGTTTTCTTAAATATAATTTAGATTATTTCAAAAAATGTAAAGATATTTTAATGAAAGTACTTTCATTCATGAAAATATTCGGGATGATTGGTCAAGAGTCAAAACATAATATTTAAATACTATGATGCAATTTCACAAAAGGATTTAAACTATATGGGCTAAATGTGTTTGGGCTATATAAGATTTCTATAAAAATTAAATATTTTTTATGCTATTTAAGATAAATGGTCAAATGATAAGTCCATTTTGGGTGAATGGAAAGGTTTGAGTAAAAGGTATTTTGGAAAATTAGGTTATGAATGATAGTCTTGTCCGATAATATCTTGATTTTATTTTTTTACCCCTCAAGTTAGTTGATGAAAACTTATAATTTAATATCATAAATAACGACAAACAATATACCAACTAGTCATGCTTTTCTTTAATTTTTTTATCATCATTCTTCTTTTTTAAATTAAAATTCATGAGTACAAGCAAACTACTTTTCATAAAAAGGACTTATGAAAGCACGTAATGTAGGTTATAGTTTAAGCTTATGAAAAGAAAAAGGTGGATACATGAAGACTCGAGAAAATGTTTAAGGATTTTATGACATAAGATCACTTTGTTATCTATAGAAGTCCTTTTAGGTAATGCCGTATGGACTTTATCACTTTAGTCGTTAGTTAGGTATTTTAGGCTTGTCGTAATGGATTTGTCATTTTGATTGTAACTTTATTTCCTAACATCAACTCTTATTGTCTCGTTTATTTGAATTTTAACTCGCCATTTTGAATTATAATTTACATTAGGAATGTTTTCTTCTTCTTTTTTTCCTTTCCTTCTCCCTTCTCTCTCTCTCTCTCTCTCTCTCTCTCTCTCTCTCTCTCTCTCTCTCTCATTTATTTTTAAATTAATTGATGGGATTCCTTTTATAGAATTTTTTTTTTAGAGTTTTATAGATTATTTATAGACTTTGCATTCCGCCTTCCAGTGTGAGGGTGATCCTTCTCCAACTTATCATGAAAGAAATCATCAAGACTTAAAGTGAGACGACAAGAGATAAAATTTTTATGAGATATTTGAAAGATGGTCTTTCTTTATCTCAAAAGCTAATTTGCCTATACTCGATAAATGCTAATCTCTTTTGAAAAATAATGATTAATTTAGAAAATTCTTAGGTTAACCGATGAAGAGAAATGATGAATGTAGTTTAGGATTATGACTTGAAAATGTATTGTTCCACATTATTTAGAATGCCAATCATTTAGTCTTTTAACTTTGGACTTCATGAGGTTTTCTTAGGCAAAAACTTTCATTCGAGAGTTTATTTAGAAAGGCGAGTTGCCTAAAAAGCAAACTACCTTAGATAAAAAAGGACTTATAAAAACACATAATGAAGGTTATGGTTTAGGCTTATGAAAAGAAAAAAGTGGATACATGAAGACTCAAAAAGTGTTTAAGGATTTTATGACATAAGATCACTTTTTCATCCATAGAAGTCTTTTTAGGCAATGCCGCATGGACTTTGTCACTTGAGCCATTAGTTAGGTTTTTTTAGGCTTATCGTAATGAATTTGTTATTTTGATTGTGACTTTGTTTCCTAGCCTCAACTCTCATTGTCTCGTTTGTCCGAATTTTAACTATCATTTTAAATTATAATTTACATTATGAATATTTTCTTCTTCTTCTTCTTCTTTTCTTTCCTTCTCCCTACTCTCTCTCTCTTTCTCTCTCTTTCTACATTCTCATTTATTTTTAAAATTATTAATGGGGTTCCTTTGATAGAATTTTTTTTTAGAGTTTTATCGATCATTTATGGACTTTACTGACTGCCTTCGAGTGTGAGGGGTGATCCTTCTCAAGCTTATCATAAAAGAAATCATCAAGACTTAAAGTGGGACGACAAGAGATAAAAGTTTTATGAGATATCCGAAAGATGATCTTTCTTGATATTTGAAAGATGGTCTTTCTTTATATCAAAAGCTAATTTGCCTATGCTTGATAAATGCTAATCTCTTTTGAAAAAAAATGATTAATTTAGAAAATTCTTAGGTTAACCAATGAAGAGAAATAATTAATATAGTTTAGGATCATGACTTGAAGACATATTGTTCATCATGATTTAGGACGTCAATCATTTAGTCTTTAACTTTGGACTTCATGAGATTTTCTTAGGCAAAAACTTTCCTTCGAGAGTTTATTTAGAACAGATTTTCATTTTTAACAAAAGGAAGGATTTCCCTTACTTTTCTCTCAAAAAGGTTGTTAGGAAAAGAAAATATATCTTTGGCTTCAATGAAATGAAGGATTGCCTCTAGTATCTATCTTTCATGCTTTGACATTTGATCAATCTATTGAATATTTTTTAATGAATTTGCCATTATACTTTCTTGATTAAGGAAGATTTAATGCCAATAATACTTTTAAATAAACATCTTTTAATTTCAAATCGGAGAATATGAAATTATTGATATTGAGTAGGAGCTACTTCTTCATTTAAAGGCATGACTTAATTCATGCATAGCCAAAATGTGCTTCTTCTTTTTTTCTTTTTTCTTTTTTTTTTTGAAATAGATTTTATAATTTGAAAAAATTAAAAGACCATAATTGTAAATTATGAGCATGCATATTTAACATTATTTTTTTAAAACTCACTCAATACCTTCATCCCTTACGTTGGCAACTATATAGTTTAGGAGTAGGTTTATGTTCACATTGGGAGCATTCGGACCACTATCGAAACTGATCTAATATTATTTGAT